CAAACCTGATTACAGGTACGCAATACATCTTTTTCACCTTCGGGAAATGAACAGAATGGAAGAGGGGGTCTCCCACAGCCATTCAGCAATTTTAAGGACCCCGGGTGGACAGGCAGCATGACCTGATGGAGGTGGATCTAATGCTGAAGAGGTTGGATGCTTCTGCAACCGCCTCAATTTGTAAGTTCAAACTCGCAGTCACCCTTTTAAAGAGGGCTTAGTGTTCCTTAAAGTGAGGGGCCTGTGTGGGAGGGACCTGCCACCATTTCATCCCAGGCTGATGACAATGACTGCACCCCCTGTAAAAGGGAAGATTCCCCCTCTCTCTCCACGGATGGCTCTTTAAGTTGCTGGAGTTCAGTGTGCTGCCCCCACATCTGATTTAGTACTGCATTCCTATTCCAGAGCTGGAGTTTGTTCAAGGTGGTCAAGGAAGACTGGTGGGAATATGGAGCTGGTGTTACTAGCACACCCCTGGAGTTCTAGTATGGCTACTGTGTGGGCTGTTGTCTGTGCTGCCACATTGTCATTACCAATGAGTTATGCTTGGTCTCGTGAGTTGGCATCAAATCACCCATCCTTGCTGAGGGGCTGAACTCCTGGTCTCACTCGGACCGCTGCCCTTCCTGCCTATGTGGAGCCATCTTATGTCTGCCAACCCTGGTTGGTGACCAGCAAGGTGAGGGTGATGAACGGCACCTGCCTGATGAATAGTACCAAGGGGAAGGAGACCAGTTCCATGACAGAGAGCAACCTCCTCCTTCCCCAGGTGAGGCTTGATTTCTGGGAGATGGTAACGTGGGCAATGGCAAGCTTGCTGATAGGTGGTATGAGGACAGACACCTCAACTCTGGTGCCTCATGCCCTGTAGAGGAACAGCACATGAGGAACGTGGACCTTCTGATCCGAGACCTAGGATGTGGGGTCAGGGTCCTATGCTGCAGAGATGGAGACAAAGTTATCTCTAAGCTCCGCAGCAGCATGGTCCTGCAGCTGCTAATGAGCCCCATACAGATAAGGGCTCAGAGCTCCATGCACACAGCTGCCTCGTTGGGGGAGGGACACTTCACCCTCGGCTATAGCAGCAGCTCCCTGCTGGGGACAGAGCATTGGGTCTCTTTCAGCCAGCATGGACACATCCCCTCCCCGTGCCTGTAGGACGGTCCCATGAATAAGTCCTACCCTCAGGTGCTGGGGTCTTAACTCTTCAGACAGCATCTGCAATGCTTATCAGTCTACTTGTTCTTTAGCCACAGAGGATGTTTCGGGCAATGAGAGCACTAGGAGAGTCTGGGAACATTAGGGGACCCTTGAGTTGGACACCCAGCTGGGCTGGGTGGTTCCATCCACCATGGTACCCCCATGAAGCAGAAGGGCAGACCCATGCCTGGCACTGGTTCCCCCTCCGCCCCAAGCCCCTTTCCCTTCCTGAGATGAGGGACCCCTTTTTCTGCTTTTTGGGCACCAGCAAGGAGGAGCAATACTAGGTGGCACTTGGTATCAACAGTGTGCTCTGCACTTCTGCCATGGTGCTTGGGGTGGGATCTGAGTGAGAGGGCTCTCTTGCAGGATGAAGTGCCGCTTCCATGAGGAGGGCCTTCAAATGAGTATCCTGCTCCTTTTGGATGGCAGGGTGAAAGATTTTACAGCTTGTCCTTTCTATAGGACTCTCTTAAGCACTTCAAACAGCTGCCATAGGGGTCATTAATAGGAATCAGCCTGCTGCATGATGAATATGGTTTCAAGCAGAAACTGACTACCAAACTAACCTAACATTTAATTTAATTTAATGGTTAAGTACCTAAAACTATATGCAATGGCTATAAAGAACTGCTAATGCTTTCGTGACGCAAGACAAGGCACTCCAACCAACCATCGGGGTGGTAACAAGGAACTAAGGGCATAGGGTCAGTGATCTCTAATACAGGCAGTCCCCGGGTTACGTACAAGATAGGGACTGTAGGTTTGTTCTTAAGTTGAATTTGTATGTAAGTCGGAACTGGTACATATTGTAGGGGAAACTCTAGCCAAACATTTCTCCAGAGCTCAGTTTTATTCTCCCACACCTCACTTCCCTCAGCCCTTTATTCTCAAGCTGAAGTGTCTGCTGAGAAAAGCCGCTCCACCTCTCCCTGGTCTGCTGGGCGGGGGGGACACTAGCTTCGCGTCTCCCTAGGAGGAGGGCACTAGCTTCGCGTCTCCCTGGTCTGCTGGGGGGAAGCAGCTAGCGCGGGGTTGCCTCACCCCGTTTGTAAGTAGGGATCCGATGTAAGTCAGATCCATGTAACCCGGGGACTGCCTGTATACTGATGCATGAGCGTGGCACTCAAGGGGACACTACAACAAACTCTATGGATACTGCTAGGGGAAAAGTCTCTGACAATTGTATACATGGGTGTGCACCCACCTAAGATGAAAAAGGCATGAGAAAGCAAAGAAAAATAAAGTTCCTGGGTTTACATAATTTTTCAGTGAATTGGCTTACTTTAATCTTTTCCCTAAAGTATATCTCGCTAGAGAAATACCCTTGAGGAAAGAAAAGTTCTAGTTTGAGGTGGCACAAGTATGCATATTTTTTCAAAAAGGCAAGGCAGGAAATATTTGAAATCCATCTGAAAATTTAAGTGATGACAGGTACTAAGATTAAGTGTTCTGCAAACAGCATAATCCTGTCTCTGACGGAGTTACTGACCACTCAAATAATTCTGCCGGTGTTCAAGGAGCAGAAGCATTGATAATTGACACTTGTCACTAATGGACTTGGAATGGGGGTTCTATTCAGCAAATAGCAAGAGCTGGAGAAACTCTTCAATCTCTCATAATGAGAACAAGTTTAGCAACATCTTTCATGCTACTTTAATATCCAAGTTTTGGGCTAAGTATAAAGTTGAATAGTAGATTTTTGTACATTCAGCTGAAAGGAAAAGTTAAAAATAAAACCTGAAATCCCTTACACAGCCCAGTTGCTTAAATTTGCAAAGCAAATCTTTGTGCATCTAGGTATCTGGCTGTTCATTTTTTTTTACAGTAACAAAATTACATTTACAGAAAAACTGCTGAGTTATAACAAACTGAATTAACAATGGGAACAAAACTTGAGAAATACTGCATTAAAATACTTTCTCAGAGTGGTTTAAAATCTTACATTGCTTTGGTTTCACCTCATATACAAAGTTTCACTAAGATAACATTTTTTGATGTTTATATATTTGATTTTCCTCTGACCCATTATTCTTCTTACTGCAGTTAATTATTGAATGTCAGCTTGAAGCTGACAGGACAAAGCATAAGCTTCACATCATTGCTTCAGCTTCCTTTTTATGAAGAAAAGGGGTTTATGTTTTGCTGTGCACACAAATGAAAAGAATGCATAAAGAACCATAGTTTGGCTTTGCTAGTCAATGTCTAATATGTAAAAATCTCAGAGTATGGTGAAGCAAAGATCTAAACATAGATCAGTAAAGGAGATGCCTTTTTAAAAAAACTTATTTCAATTAAATTTTAAAACCTATAAAAACTATAACAATAAAATAAGCTTTTCAAATTAGTGTGAATTAAGTGGTCACCATTATTGCAAGCGAAATACTGTCACTGAAATAGCTTCTTGTTTTGTTGTAAAATGATAAAAACACAAAAGTCAATAAAACTGCTAAAATAAGTCTCTGTAATTACCAAGATCAAAATACAGTGGCTTTTTATTAAACATGAACTTTTGTTCTGCCTTCTGCAATACGTAAATAGTGCTGACAATTGGTTTGTCAGCCACTTGCTACAATAAAATGTAATTGTATCATGAGAGAAAGGTGACAATCAGGAGATCATGAAAAAATTACATATTCTCACTGGTAGTTAATTAGCCATGCAAAACCCCCTCAAACAGATATTCTCGTCTATTAGGAATGATTACTATGCAGGCCTACAGATGTCAATACCACAGTCATTCAAATGCTTCTTTCTCTACTAATTGAAGGTTGTAAAGCTCTGGTGCCAAGGTTTTGCTTCCAAAGAGCTAATTTATGACTAGAAGGATATTTTATGTCTTCAGTTGCAGCAGCTACAAAACTCAGCAAATCAGAACCATCTGTGCACTGATACTTGAATCACCATTCATCTAGCAGCCTATCAGTCACATTAGTTTGCATCCTGCATTCTTGGCTCATGTACACTTGCGATGCTCCAAAGTTCACAAGAAATATTAAAAATGAATGAAACTCTGACCCTACCTTATTGCACATGCATCAGAGAAGAAATGGGACTTTTGCATATGGGTCATTTCAAGGCAGAGATATCGTGGGCCTGACATTTCATATAAGGTCCAGTAAGGCTTCTAATTACATCAGTCTAAGTTTATTAAACTTAAGGTTTTATTGACTGTAGAATTTCAGATTTAAAATACAGGGGAGAAATATATATAACCATGATAGCTGTCAACTTTAAATCTGTGTGCTAAAAAGAGCATTATCCAGCACTACATACAAATAAACTACTTAAATCCCAGGATGAAATATCCCCTTCAGAATGGTGACTGTAGGAATACAATGACAAAGGACCCTCCCCCCCCCCACACACACACCAAAAAAAAAACCCCAAACTGGACGACAGAAAATGAATTAAATGTTTTCACTCATCGAAACAACTTTGCTTTTAATCTGGCTAGAAAGAAAAACCTGGCATTCAAGTTTGTCTTCAAGATGTTAGTGAACAAAGTCCTTGACTTCTCCATTATCCTGAAAGTAAATGATTCTCCACAGACATACTACTTTGAAGTGAGAGGTTGTAGGTCAAAAGGACTCATGACAGTTTTTCTTCCTTAAGCGTTGTCATCCCACTTTTTTCCAAAGCCAGGGGAAACAGGAATTAACAAATACAATGCATTTAAAGCCAAACAGTTGCTGTACTAGTCTCACTTGGAGATCTTAAACGACTTCCTCTTGTGCAAAAGAAAAAAAAATACAAGTTTCACAAAATAAGTGCAGACTGCAAAGGATTATGTTACTTACTTTCAGATCTTTAGAAGCACACAGATTTAGAGCACATCCAGCAGTGGAAAATTCCAAAGGGCCGTCATAAAAAGTTTCACTTGATTCCAGTCCCTCCACCAAGATTTTCTTTAGTACTTGATACTTTGGCTTTTCCTCATAAGTTAAATCATAAACACATGCCAAAAACTTGGCTATTTCACCTGTGGATTATATTTTAAAAATGAACTTTATCTGATGTGGACCTATACTTTAAGAAAGTTTTAAATCCAAAATGACAAAAATTGTGGGAATGACAATCAGGATACAACAGAATGAAAAGGCAACAGCCAACACACAGAACTATTGAAATACAAAGCTATTTCCTTCTTGGATTAGGAAAAGGAAAAAATCAGACGGATAAACTGCCCATGCCCTATGCTGTTCATTAGGTTACAATTGTTACACAAAAATCATAATAAATACCAATAAAACTAATCCTAACTAATCCTTTTTACTCCAAAGACTATTTAGAAAGTAGAAGGATTTTCTTGATCTGTGGATCATAACATGACTTTTAAAATGATATTGCTATGTATATTCAATGCTGATTTGCAGATATTTTATCATTTGAATAGTTACTGGAAAAGCAAAATACTTTGATTTCAGGATCTTGACAATCTCTGTATTATATAAATATCCTAAAGTTACTAAATAGTGGTTGTTTTTGTTGGAAATAGATCTTAATAATGCAACCCAGCAACAGCATTATTTTATCACCACCACCACCAATTATCTTTGGAGGTACAGGCAGTCCCCAGGTTACATGGATCCGACTTACATCGGATCCCTACTTACAAACGGGGTGAGGCAACCCCACACTAGCTGCTTCCCCCCCAGCAGACCAGGGAGACGTGAAGCTAGTGCCCCCCCCAGCAGACCAGGGAGACACGGAGCGGCTTTTCTCAGCAGACACCTCAGCTTGAGAATAAAGGACTAAGGGAAGTGAGGTGTGGGAGAATAAAACTGAGCTCTGGAGAAATGTTTGACTAGAGTTTCCCCTACAATATGTACCAGTTCCGACTTACATACAAATTCAACTTGAGAACAAACTTACAGTCCCTATCTTGTACGTAACCCGGGGACTGCCTGTATTGAGATGCCTTCAAAAACACTACACTTGGGTATTTATAAAAAACTTTTCTTGCAGTTAAGTTTAGTATAATCCTAAAATTAAACTACAGCATGTATTGACATTTATCTTTTCTGATCCCTAAAGTGAAACATGTTAAACTGGATCCACTGTGTGTGTACTATTCTACAGAAGGAGGAGACAGGAAAGCTAAGTTTTAAAATGCAGTATTTTATACTCCCTATTCCAATGACATAATATATGTATTAAGTATGGGAATTCTGTGGATAAAAAGAATAGCATGAGCAAATGCTTCATAACCACCCTACCCTACCACATCCCACAAAGGTCACTGGTTTGCCTTTATACCAAGAGATTCCTGTTTGGGTTACTTTTATACTGTTTCTGAAAATACATAACAAGCTAAGACTCACATTCATTCGCTGCTTCAAACGCATAAAACGCTAAGCAATTCAACTTTTTATGAACCTGTTGCCTACATTTCCATACTAACTGCACCCATATTTCTTAACATACTCAGTGCTTCCTCACAACCTGCACTGCACGTGACTAAGATATTATAGGCAATTATTAGGCACAAGTTTGTCATACAAGGATAGAATTCTTATTTGACAATTTCCATTATTAAAGTAAAAAAAATTAAGTTCATAACATTTACATGAAGAAACTTTTTCCAGGTGGATCTTGTGCTAGCAGTTTGCATTTGCAGATTTCTCAGAGTAGCAGTTCTCAAACTTTTCTGCTCCACAACCCTCATCTGATAACAAAAATTACTAGAGAGGCTCAGGAGTGAGGACTGAAACTTGAGCCCGTATGATCCCCACCACTGTCACAGACAAAGGGAACAATGCTGAAGGCAAAGGGCTTTAGTCCTAAGTGGAGGGCTTGTAACATGAAGCCCCGCAGTGAGGCTTCATCTTCAGCCTTGGTCCACAGCAAATCTAAGCCTGCCCTTGCAACCCCATTTTAATGGAGTCAGAGTCGACTATGGGGTCCCAACCACAGTTTGAGAACCCTTGTTGTAGAGGTTAGAATAGCTTTGACAGAGGTATTAGTCATTGCAGCATGAACAAACTATTTCATGTTGAATTCAACAGTTCAGGCTAATGGCCTGATTTGTCACTGGCACTCAACCTGGCCTCCAATTTTGCACCTATAATGAATTGAGCATCAGTAAGTTCCAACTGGAATTGGTAGAATTCAGGTGAGTACCCAACTGGTATACACTGCAAAGGAGTTAAATCTGAGCCTCTGTTAAATCTGGGTCTCTGCACCCATAAATTTGCAGTATATTGTTGAAAATTAAGCCCTTATTTTCTGCTTGATTTTTGTTTTATAGAATAATGAGGGAAGCAAGAGCAGATTTTAAACCATTCCATCATTTGTAAAGCTATTTCTATCACCTTAACGTAAACCAAGAAAATCTTCCTGTCGAAGCAGGACATCTACATGGCTAGAGAGGCTGATTTGGTCCTAATTCTAGGATTATCCAGTGGGTGTGCACAAATGCTGTACATATCCTCACTATCTTACTTTTTGCATAAGCAAACCTAGAAGATACAATTTTTACAGAAATATCTGTAAATTAAGGACCTGATCCAGCACAATGGTTGAATTCAGTGGATTTTGGATAATAGTCTCAGTTAGTACAATATATACTGGAATGCAGAGAATTAAAAATACTAATTGTTACTAATTAAATAATCAAATCTCTGGAATACATGCACCTTGAAATATAGTGGATCTGATTTTTCTGCTAAGTTACACTGCTGTAAAGAAAGAGTAACTGCTGAACTATGAGTTATGTTATACTACGAAGAGGTAAATCAGCCTCAATTCATGCAATTCCACTAGCTTTACTAAGTACATGCATTTTTCTCTCTAAATGTACTAATATTTATATATTAAAGTGCATTGTACTTTCTGTAATAGGAATTTCCTGTATTTTTACTGCAGTAACTGCAAAGAGCATGTGTGTGAAAGTTGGCTAAGAGCACAAATCCTAAATTTCTCCACAGACACAATGTTGTACTTATAATGAAACACTAAGAAATGTAGATGTAAAAGAAACATTCATAAATGTGCATGTTAAACTCAAAACATGTTTGGTTTCTAGATTTTTAAAGAAAAGGCCAGAGAAATGAAGCGAGAAAGCAGCAAGTAAACACTAGACACTGCAACAGAACCACTGGTAGCATTCCACTCAGAAAAAGCACTTCAGATACCTGGGTTTAATTTTCTGTTCTGCCGAAGACTTGTATGTGACTTCAGATAAGTCACTTAGGCCTAGCTCCACAAAGGTGTTTAGTCTTTTAACTTCCATTTATTTCAGTGGAAGTTAGGAGCTTAAATGTCAGAAAGTGGATGGCCATGTTTAGTGGTTAGAGCAGTTTTAGTCAGTCCTAATGATCAATCTGGGGACCTGAGCCAGGGGTCAGTGCAGGACTTAAGAGGAGGTTTAGAATGTGGCTGGAGCAGGCACAGGCTGGGGCTAAAATAGTCTAATCCAGTGGTCCCCAACGTGGTGTCCGTAGGCACCATGGCGCCCGCCGGGGCATTTATGTGCGCCCGCCTAGTGACCAGGGCCGGCCCGAGCCATTCTTGCACCCCGGCCCCCGGCACATGCGCAGTACCAGCCCCGGGCACATGCGCGGTACCAGCCCCGGGCACATGCAGCGCATGCGCGGTACCACCCCCAGGCACGCAGCGCATGCACAGCCCCCACCCTGGGCGCGCTGCACATGCGCAGCCCTGCCCCTGGGTGCCCGGCAGCCCCGAAAGGTTGGGGACCACTGGTAATCAGAACTATCAAGCAGCAAGAGATTCTCCTGACAAGATAGTGACATTGAGCAAGCAAGTGGCTGTTCTTAGTGTGAGCCTATATACCTGTCTTTGGGGTCACTGTGTTAGAACTGAGGATTGCCTGGGCCCCGGTTGATTAACGTAGAGCACTCAGTTGATATCAGGCTCGGGAATGACTCATCAGGCATAGCAACACTAATCAGGCTGAGATGATTCACTGCATTATTGCCCCTGCCCCAAACGATGCCTACCAGAGGTCTTCAGGCTAGGTTTATTTGGTGCAACTGATGGAATCCTCAAAGCTCACTTTGTGTATCCCACAAAATCAACTGGGTCGCAACTCTACCAATCAACAAGATACATGAACTTTCCTTGAAGAATTTTGGCACCCAAGATCTGCACAGAATCATACGGTTAGAAGACTAGTTCTGTCACAGTTTTCTTAGTTTTGTTCTGTGAGTTGTTGGGAACGTCACAAAGATGGAGTACATATTGGGGAATATACTACTGTGACAACACTATTCTGATCGCAAGGCATCCACTTTGACAATGATGTGTTTAGCCAGGTCAGACTGTATCAAGATGAGTAGTGATGTAAATGTTTCCTTTAATAGGTTAAACGCAGATTAGGCGTCCCCCGTCCAAAGCATTTGGGTAATTGGGTTCACTACCTTCAAAAAGTCCTTGATCAATCTTCAGTTAACAGTCCTTGATTAATCTTCTAACAGTCAAACCCCAGAAAGCACTGGATATAGTGGTCATTCCTTGGGGCTGCCCAGTCTACAATCGTGGAAACTCTTTGGAGCTCCATATCGATTCTATCTGGGGAAATGACATAGCCAAAGAAGAAGTAATCAGAACAGTGATCAAACTCCTCATTTTTCAATTTTTCTATATACCCTGCATATTTGGATGTACTAGATGGTCAGGAAGGTTTTGACTTGAGATGAAAAAGTCATCTAGGTGGATGACCATGAACACATCTAAAAAATCCCTGAAAATGTAATTGAGAAAGTGCCAAAGGACCAAAAGGCATAAACAGAAATTCAAAATGGCCATATTGGTTGCAAACAGTTTTCCATTCCTCACCTTCCCAAATACAGACTAACTATAAACTCCATGAAGATCAAGCTCGGTAAATACCTTGGCAGAACTGATTCTTTCCCACATCTCATTGATGAAAGGCAAAATAAACAAGATTCTATTCAAGGCACACAAACTCAGGTACCAGTGGGAGATGTGGATGGATAGATGAAGTTCTTTGTGCAA